GTGGAGTTAAATGCCTAAGGAACCCTCACGTCTCTCCCATCTTCACTGACCACTTCTTTAATACCCTTCGAAACTCGCCCCTTTCGCCGGACGAGTCAATAAGAGGATATAAAATTCTATTCCTTCTTTGATGTGTTCCTAGATCTCAACATTCACATTCCTCAGGTAATGACGGGTGAGCGCCAGCACCAGGGGTCATCACTCCGCCGTCCCTACACTACACCGAAACAAAGACCATCCACAGAAGATGAGTGAAGTTACAGCAGTCATCCCTGAAGACTCGATCATCCTCTACACCGACGGCTCACTCCAGGACACGGGTGCTGCAGGTTGTGCTTATGATGCCAATTTCGGGTGAGTACAGCAAGGTGTGAACTACAGGGCATCCTGGGGACCATCAACTACTGGCCGGACGAGGGGCGGAGTGGACTGGTTTATCAGTGATTCTCGTTCTGGACAAGAGCCGATCAACTCACCCATTCCCGTCTGTCAGGATCTAGTGAGATAAATTCACCAGTGTCTTATAAGGGCGAACACAGACGCCCATTCCATATTGGCCTCCACAAACTTGACTCCATAGACAACCTCGCAAAATCCCTCTGCACACTCCCAATCCCTGATGACGCTCAACCATAACTACTGGTCGAGTCAAGACGCTCCAGCCGCTCTTGAAATCATAAACGAAGAGCGAAGTGACCAACCAGGGTGCTAGTGTTAGTGTTCACCTCTATGATAAACATTGTGACACAAAATATCAATACGGCCGGAATAAATGTCTGACCCGGCTCAGTGATATAGTTGCCGCCAGAATCAGACTTGGCTATAGGCCATGTTGGGAACTCTTGAGATATCCTTCCTTTGAATTTGTGGTGAAAACAGAAAACAGCCTCCAGCATTACATCTCATAGTGCAAACCAAATCACTCCGTGCTGCCACTTAACAAACCTTTAACGAACTCTGTAAATTCATCCTAACTACCAATGTCGTGGACACTATGATACGGTTACATCCCAAAAAATTTCCACAAATACCTGCACTAGAAAACCACTACTTCACTCACTTGTCTTAGTGCACTCTAAGAGGTGCGAGTTCTACGGTTTCATTCCTTACACCCACCAGCAGTCAACTTAGGGTACAGCTGTCCTACGAGGCGAAAGTCTCTGTAATTTAGTTTGGCGGGAGGTTGGCCTGTGTATATAGAACTGCCGTTCCTGTGGAGGGGCGTAAACTTAACTTTAGAAAGTTTCTGCCACAGTTCCGGGAACCAAACACATGCACTAGAAAAACCCATCAGGCGGGCAGTTATCAAGTGCACCAACCAGTGGGCGTCGGGATAAAGGCAGCAGATAAGGTGGAGTGTGACTCGGCTTTGGGCGCAGCAGCGCATTACTTGTGTGGACCTGGACGCGAGTAAACGTGGTCAAGATGATTCTCCTGCTACTGCTCTGTGCTGGGCACCTTCACCCTGCTGCTACCCACGACGACCACCATCAGGAGATGAGCTCCTCTCTTATAGTGAATCAACTGGCCATAATGAAGATGATGGGGGATACATCCAACTCTTGTTCTGCAGGTAAGTTGTACCAAGATACTACTTACTGTGCCCTGACCCCCACCTCTCTCTCTCTCTCTCTCTCTACGTGTATCGTCCTCACTCAATGTCTCTCCAACACTGAACCTCTCTCTCTCTCTCCCTCACTCTGTTACTCCCTCCACCTCACCTCATTCACTCTTCCTCCCGTAACTGTTCCATCTTCCTTGTCACACTCCATCTCCCCTTAACCTCTCCAGCCCTCTCACTCCCTCCGTCACCTCCCAATCCTTCTACCACACATCCCAGTCAGTAATAAAACACATCAGCACGGGTTAGTGGTACAGTTTAAACACTCTACTTGTCATGACAGAAGCAGGTTGCGCTGTTATGAGTCTCTCTTAAAACACTCAAACAATTTGTGACTTTGTTAAACGTTTACAACTTAACTTTATTTGGGTTAAGTTAATGTGTAGTTGTATCACTCAGTTATTTTGATGTTGCGTCATTGTCTGTGCACATATGTATGACATCCTGTTATTTGATTGTATGTTAGTCATAGTAATTATTGACTACAGTTGTATATATGAGTCCTTAAGTGGTGGTGTTACCATTTATTGACCTACAGTTATATATATGATTCATAAGTGTTGGTGTTACCGTGTTGACTACTGATTGTATATATGAGTCTAAGTGTTGATTATTACCATTATTATTCTCATGATTTTCTATGGAAGTCATAATGTTGGTGTTACCATTGTTGACTACAGTTGTATGATGTAGATATTGGTGTACCATTGTTGACTACAGTTGTATATAGGTCACCAAATGTTACCATTATTGGCTAATTATATACATTCATAGTATTGTTCATTGTTGACTACAATTGTATATAGATTCATAAGTGTTGAATTATTTACCAAATTGTTGACTTCAGTTGTATATGAGTCATAAGTGTTGGTGTCACCATTGTTGACTTCTGATTGTATATATGAGTCATAAGTGTTGAGTATTACCATTGTTGACTACAGTTGTATATATGAGTCGTAAATGATGTTTATAGTGTTGATAAACAAGACTGCCATCCTTACTTCAATGTCTCTTTTTTCTAAACTAATTCATGAAATTTATCAAATTAATTGTTTCATTTCTTATGTTTGTCTTTGTTAATATTTTTTCTTAATTATTACTCAAACAATTGTATCATAATTACCTTCTAATTGTCTTGTGTCCCACTGTTATATGAATTATATACAATACAGTATATACAATACACATATATACAGTACATACAGTATATACATACAGTATACATACAGTAAACAGTATATAATGCATATTGTTGTTTTTGTTCTATCAATGTTTATTTACAGTTCTGAATATAGTAAAGGCTTGAAGCTCAGCAGACAGGCAAGGAAGACCTTCGAAGACCTTCCTACAGACATCCTGACAGATAACTGTTCTTAGAATAACTTATCCAGGCTGGTAAGTACAGTATGCCACTTACCTACCTGAGTATACTTCGCTTGTCAGCAATTAGAGGTGTGCGCCTACCTGAGTGCTTCCCTTGTGTGGGGTGTGCCACTTACCTACCGTGCTTTAACCTTGTGTGGTGGAGAGAATTGTGCCCTTACCTACCTGGAATGTTTCCTTGTGTGGTGTGGGGTGCCTTACCTACTGGAATATTTCCTTGTGTGGTGTGGGGTGTGTGCCTTACCTACCTGGAGGACTATTTTCCTTGTGTGGTGTGGTGTGCCATACCTACTGGGTACTTCCTTGTGTGTGTGGTGGGGGGGTGTGCCTTACCTACCTGGAGTGCCTCGCCCATGTGGTGGGTGTGTCCCTTGCCTGGGTGCTGCTTCCTTGGTGGGTGTACCCTTGCCTACCTGGAGTGCTTACTTGTGTGGTGGGGTGTGCCCTGCCTGGAGTGCCTTCCTTGTGTGGTGAGGTGTGCCTTCCTACCTCGATGCTTCCTTGTGTGTTGAGGGTGTGCCATACATGCCTCGATGCTTCAGCAATGTGGTGGGGGTGTGCCTTACTACCTGGAGTACTTCCTTGTGTGGTGGGGTGTGCCCCTTACCTACCTGGAGTGCTTCATGGTGGGGGTGTGCCTTACCTGCCTAAATTGCAATAATGTGGTGGGGTGTGTAACACCTGCCTGGGTACTTCTTATGTGTTGGGGTGTGCCCTCCTGCCACAAGTGCTTCCTTGTATGTGTTCAGGGGTGTGCCATACGTGCCTGGAGTGCTTCCTTGTGTGGTGGGGTGTGCCCTTACTACCTGGAGTGCTTCCTTGTGTGTGGTGGGGGTGTGCCCTTGCCTGCCTGGGTGCCTTCCTTGTGTGTGTGGGGGTGTGCCCTTACCTACCTGGAGTGCTTCCTTGTGTGGTGAGGTGTGCACTTACCTGGAGTGCTTCCTTGTGTGTGAGTGGGGTGTGCCCTTACCTACCTGAGTGCTTCCTTGTGTGGTGAGGGTGTGCCTTGTACCTGCCTGGATGCTTCCTTGTGTGGTCGAAATTGTACTATTTACCTAGGTACTTCCTTGTGTAGTGGGGTGTGCCTTACCTGCCTGGAGTGCTTCCTTATGTGTTAGAGGTGTGCCCTACCTCTGGGTATTTCCTTGTGTGGTGGGGTGCCTTCCTACCTGGAGTGTTCCTTGTGTGGTGGGGTATGCCCTTACCTACCTGGAGTGTTTCCTTGTGTGGTGGGTGTGTGCCTTTACCTGCCTGTGCTTCATGTGTATGGTGAAGTCAGTGCCACTTACCTGCCTGGAGATGTTCCTTGTGGTGAGGGTGTGCCATACCTACCTGGAGTGCTTCCCTTGTGTGAGTGGGGTGTGCCACTTACCTACCTGAGTACTTCCTTGTGTGTGGTGGGGATGTGCCACTTACCTAGATGCTTCCTTGTGTGGTGGTGCCCCTAGATTATCTTCACACAGCACAGATGTATGTTACCCCAACTGCCTCAGATGTGTCTTTACTGGCGCTCCTCAGATGTGTCTTCACACAGCTACCCCAGATGTGCCTTGCACACTGCCTGAGTGTGTCTTCACAGCTGCAAATCATGTCCTTTCACACAGCTGCCTCCAGATATATCACGACTTATTTGGCTCAATATTTTTCACAAATCAATATTTTGTGTTAATAAACAGAACATCAATATTTTACTCACTTTACGCATCCTGAAATTTATGAAAATGGAAATGTTAATATTTAATCAATTTGTTGCAACTCAGTAGAACCCATCCTTAACACTATTGTCTGGCATAGTAGTACATAAGACTGGCTCCAGACCACGTCAGTCTCTTAACACTAGACCTGGAGAGACTTTACTGAGGAAGAATCAAACATAAAGGCTTCTTGTAAGTCGTCCACATCAGTAGTTTAAGTGAGATAAAGTTCATCTATATAAGACAAACAAGAATAACGCCCATAAGATGTTGACATAAATATGAGAGACATTTTTCGTTCTTATATTATAAAACACTTTCCTTGTTCTCAGGTTTCGAAGATTTGAAGGAAGAGTTGAGGAGCGTACTGGGCGTCTACCAAGATGAGGTGAACAACTACCAGACTCACGTAGAGTCCACCACCACCCAGATTAACGCTGTAGATACTGCCCAGAATAACAGTAAGTGTGTGTTAACTGTGGCTCATCTAACTGTTAGACTGTGTCATGAAGAAGCGTCCAGAGTAAGTGTGTGTTAACTGTGGCTCATCTAACTGTTAGACTGTGTCATGAAGAAGCATCCAGAGTAAGTGTGTGTTAACTGTGGTTCATCTAACTGTTAGACTGTGTCATGAAGAAGCGTCCAGAGTAAGTGTGTGTTAACTGTGGTTCATCTAACTGTTAGACTGTGTCATGAAGAAGCGTCCAGAGTAAGTGTGTGTTAACTGTGGCTCATCTAACTGTTAGACTGTATCATGAAGAAGCGTCCAGAGTAAATGTGTGTTAACTGTGGCTCATCTAACTGTTAGACTGTATCATGAAGAAGCATCCAGAGAAAGTGTGTGTTAACTGAGGCTCATCTAACTGTTAGACTGTGTCATGAAGAAGCGTCCAGAGTAAGTGTGTGTTAACTGAGGCTCATCTAACTGTTAGACTGTGTCATGAAGAAGCGTCCAGAGTAAGTGTGTGTTAACTGTACGGCTCATCTAACTGTTAGACTGTGATAAAGCAGAAGAAGCATCCAGAGTAAGTGTGTGTGCTGTGGCTCAGCCCTAACTGTTACAGACTGTGTCATGAAGAAGGCATCCAGAGTAAGTGTGTATTAACTGTGGCTCATCTAACTGTTAGACTGTGTCATGAAGAAACTTGTCAAGAATAAAGTGTGTGTTAACTGTGGCTCATCTAACTGTTAGACTGTGTCATGAAGAAGCGTCCAAGAGTAAGTGTGTGTTAACTTTGTAAGCTCATCTAACTGTTAGACTGTATCATGAAGAAGCGTCCAGAGTAAGTGTGTGTTAACTGTGGCTCATCTAACTGTTAGACTGTGTCATGAAGAAGCGTCCAGAGTAAGTGTGTTGTTAACTGAGGCTCATCTAACTGTTAGACTGTGTCATGAAGAAGCGTCCAGAGTAAGTGTGTGTTAACTGTGGCTCATCTAACTGTTAGACTGTATCATGAAGAAGCGTCCAGAATAAGTGTGTGTTAACTGTGGCTCATCTAACTGTTAGACTGTGTCATGAAGAAGCGTCCATACACAGTAAGTGTGTTAACTGAGGCTCATCTAACTTTGTAGACTGTGTCATGAAGAAGCGTCCAGAGTAAGTGTGTGTTAACTGTGGCTCATCTAACTGTTAGACTGTGTCATGAAGAAGCGTCCAGAGTAAGTGTGTTGTTAACTGAGGCTCATCTAACTGTTAGACTGTGTCATGAAGAAGCGTCCAGAGTAAGTGTGTGTTAACTGAGGCTCATCTAACTGTTAGACTGTGTCATGAAGAAGCGTCCAGAGTAAGTGTGTTGTTAACTGAGGCTCATCTAACTGTTAGACTGTGTCATGAAGAAGCGTCCAGAGTAAGTGTGTGTTAACTGAGGCTCATCTACTTGTTAGACTGTGTCATGAAAAAGCGTCCAGAGTAAGTGTGTGTTAACTGAGGCTCATCTAACTGTTAGACTGTATCATGAAGAAGCGTCCAGAGTAAGTGTGTTGTTAACTTAGGCTCATCTAACTGTTAGACTGTGTCATGAAGAAGCACCATGAGAACTGGTCACATTTCTTGTCGGGGAATTATTAGGTGACAAGATCAGTGGGGCCTTGTTAGTACTGTACTGTGTGGCAGACTACAACACCTGAATAACTTCTTTAACATTGTTATCTTTAAGTCACTAGTGTACAGTACAGTATAACCTTAACAATCAATAAACTGTATTGTGTTTAACAGAGTGTTAGTCATCTAACATCTACCTAGTATTCAGTGTGTCACTTCTTAGGAGTACAGCAAAGTTTCTTCCTAGTCTTACACTTTCCAGTACTCGCATGTACTCAGGGATGTAATCCTGTACTGCATGATATTCAATAATTTCGTATTCTGTCAATTAATCTGTGCCGATGGTACATAGATTTTTGGCGAGACAATGAAAAGTTTAGTGTTGGGTTTTGACATACACAATGTAAACAAACATATTGGTTCACATCTCTCGTGGAGTGTGACCATAACCCAGCATTATAGAAGTCATGAAAAACGTCAAGAGAAGGAGCAAAACACTCACTAGAGTTCTCCAGGAGCAAAGCCTCAACACGATACTGTAGGTTAGTTCAGTGTTAAGTTGACAATTCGGATCACTACCTTGCACCTCTCGCGTAATAACGGAAGTCATATCACCACAATAATACATTATTCTATTGTTCTGAACACGAAGTACCCAATTACTCTATAATTCTTTCATCAAGTAACAAATGGATAATAATTTTCTCAGATCGTGATGCTTACATTTAAAGTCAAAGATTCACTCGGAGTATCAAACCTTCCAGTTGTTAAACTTGTTCTTCTCCTGCATCAGCGCCGCCTCATACCTAATTACTTTACGATAACACAAGAGTTTTACAGAATGTATTTATAAGACCAAGAGAGAGAGAGAGAGAGAGAGAGAGAGAGAGTTTATTTTGTGATGTAAGAACAAGTGTTTCCTGTTGGCAGGTATAGAAGAAATGAAGGAAGAGTTGAGGAGGCTGCAGGAAGTGCACGAGGAGGAGGTGAACAGCCTTAAGTCTCACATCAACGCCCTTAGCACCCTCATTAACAACAGTAAGTGCGTGTAAACTTTGGCTAATGAACTCTTATACGAGACTGTGACACCACTGCCAACAGTTCCAACCAATAAACACCAATAATTAAGTGTCCAGAAGTTGGTAAAGAATGACAGCAGAGGTGTTCATTATTTATACTAATGGTTGTGTACATTAATGTGTTCTCGTCTGTATAAGATCATTTAGATTCTTAATGAACAAAACTAACATAAACTAATATAATTACAGGTGTAGAGACTATAAATGAAGTATTAGCGAGCAGGATTGATCACCAGCAGGAGGAGGCCAGCTCTAGCAGGTCACAGATCAACTCTCTCACCACCCAGATGAGATCCATGGAGAGGAAGGTTGAGCTAAACAGTAAGTTGTGCAACTGTGTCATCATCAGTTATTGTTCATCTCCAAGAAGAACAAACAGTTAGTCTTGTGGAACTACGAGGCTTTTCGTTAACGGTTAATGAATAAACATTAGACGTGTGTCGTTGTCCAATTATTCATCAGCTCGGCCCCATATAAATGACTGAGGATAGCTGGGAGTTCCACGCATAAGTGAAGGTTGGTAGACAGACTTCAGAAATTGGAATGTTGATGGAAGAGAGATTTACCTTATTTATCTACTGGCCACACAAAGTAGAGGTGACCACGCCGAAGAAAGTTGGCCAGTGACCTGTGTAGGATCTCTCCATTATTCTTGATAGTCTTGTTTAGTGTTAGCCCAGTACTGCTCTCAGCTTCGACACCGTTCCATAGGTCTTGCTTTTTTGTGCTATCAAATCACACCAAATAGACTGGCGACTGTGAAGTGCTCCTTGATCATAGACTGGTGACTGTGAAGTGCTCCTTGATCATAGACTGGTGACTGTGAAGTGCTCCTTGATCATAGACTGGTGACTGTGAGGTGCTCCTTGATCATACACTGGTGACTGTGAGGTGCTCCTTGATCATAGACTGGTGACTGTGAAGTGCTCATGATCATACACTGGTGACTGTGAAGTGCTCATGATCATAGACTGGTGACTGTGGGGTGCTCCTTGATCATAGACTGGTGACTGTGAAGTGCTCCTTGATCATAGACTGGTGACTGTGAAGTGCTCCTTGATCATAGACTGGTGACTGTGAGGTGCTCCTTGATCATACACTGGTGACTGTGAGGTGCTCCTTGATCATACACTGGCGACTGTGAAGTGCTCCTTGATCATAGACTGGTGACTGTGAAGTGCTCCTTGATCATAGACTGGTGACTGTGAAGTGCTCCTTGATCATAGACTGGTGACTGTGAGGTGCTCCTTGATCATACACTGGCGACTGTGAGGTGCTCCTGAATATACACTGGTGACTGTGAGGCGCTCTTGATCATAGACTGGTGACTGTGAGATGCTCCTTGATCATAGACTGGTGACTGTGAGATGCTCCTTGATCATAGACTGGTGACTGTGAGATGCTCCTTGATCATACACTGGTGACTGTGAGGTGCTCCTTGATCATAGAGTGGTGACTATGAGGTGCTCCTTGATCATACACTGGTGACTGTGAGGTGCTCCTTGATCATAGACTGGTGACTGTGAGGTGCTCCTTGATCATACACTGGTGACTGTGAGGCGCTCTTTGATCATAGACTGGTGACTGTGAGATGCTCCTTGATCATACACTGGTGACTGTGAGGCGCTCTTTGATCATACGCTGGTGACTGTGAAGTGCTCCTTGATCATAGACTGGTGACTGTGAGGTGACCCTGCCTTTCTTAGATGGTGTTGGTAACATGGTAAATATAATTCACCCTCCGACACATTTCCTTGACCCTAGGACTCACTAAACTCAATTACGTTTGGTTGGTTGGTTGGTGTCCACACGTGCGCTCAATGCATCAATTTTATTAACTAAATTTCTGGCAACACTTGAATGTGAGTCTGGAGGGTTAGTATAATCTCTCTCATATGTTGCTTGGGAGTTTGTTCTCTCTGGATTAGTAGTATTACTTAAACCTACATCATACATTATGTTACATTGTTGACAGTTAGTTCACCTCTTGGCCTTATTAGTGGGAGGGCGTACCCCGCTTCCAGTACCCTGACAACTTTACCACTTCTGATCTTTAGCTGAACATCTCCATATTGTGGGTCGCTGCATAGCTCTTTCCTGTTTGTCTCTGAGTTATATGTCGTGTTTTGTGTGTGTGTGTTTTTTCCTTGGTGAATGGTCAGGTCGGGGATGGTGTAGACAAGTGGTTCTTAACCTTTTTAGGGTCGCGCCGCCTATAGCAGTTGGTCCTCATCTCCAAGCCCCCCCGTTTAAGAACCGCTGGCGTAGACATTCCTGCACCCTGTTTCTTGTTTAAGGTTCCGTGGTGCTGCAAGATATCCTTCCTGTGCTCGTGTTTAGGTATGCTGATACTCATTAACTGCACTATACGTTAAGTCTTTCCACATTTGTAATATTTAACTCGCCTACAAAGTCAACAACATCTGGCGACATCTGTTCATTCGTCTGTCTCTTCCCCTTACGTTAACCACCTTATCAGGCTCAACCAACACCAACTATTATACTGTACCATCAGGGAGAAGTCAGTGAGATGTAAGGTGATAGAGGAGGGTGATAACATATAATTATTTCACCTGTTACTGATGACTATAATTCCCACAGGATGGCTCATGTAAGGTGATAGAGGAGGGTGATAACATATAATTATTTCACCTGTTACTGATGACTATAATTCCTACAGGATGGCTCATGTAAGGTGATAGAGGTGATAACATATAATTATTTCTACTGTTACTGATGACTATAATTCCCACAGGATGGCTCATGTAAGGTGATAGAGGAGGGTGATAACATATAATTATTTCACCTGTTACTGATGACTATAATTCCTACAGGATGGCTCACTCACAACGTCACATATTCCACTTCTTTCTCATCCTGCAGTGGTCATCAAGGAAAAGCTTGCATTATTTATTTATTTATTCAATAGTACATTATTATAATATTAGATTTGTTCACGGTACCATTGTATTAAATGTAGAACTGTACAAGCTTGTGTTGTCTGTATATTGTGTTGACTGTACAAGTGTTCACTGTACCATTATGATGACTGCACCAATGACTGCACCACAACAGTGACCGCAACAAATCTTAACTGTACCACCGTGTAGATAGTCAAGCAATATTGACTGCACCACTAAACACCGCAGTGTTAACCGTATAACAGTGGTGGGTGACGCACCATACACCGCAGTGTTAACCGTATGACAGTGGTGGGTGACGCACCATACACCGCAGTGTTAACCGTATGACAGTGGTGGGTGACGCACCATACACCTCAGTGTTAACCGTATGACAAGTGGTGGGTGACGCACCTACACCTCAGTGTTAACCGTATGACAGTGGTGGTGACGCACCTACACCCTGCCAGTGATAACCGTATGACAGTGGTGGGTGACGACCTTACACCTCAGTGTTAACCGTATGAAGTGGTGGTGACGCACCATACACCTCAGTGATAACCGTATGACAGTGGTTGGTGACGCACCTACACCTCAGTGATAACCGTATGACAGTGGTGGGTGACGCACCTACACCTCAGTGTTAACCGTATGACAGTGGTGGGTGACGCACCTACACCTCAGTGATAACCGTATGACAGTGGTGGGTGACGCACCAAACACCGAGTGTTAACCGTATGACAGTGGTGGTGACGCACCATACACCTCAGTGTTAACCGTATGACAGTGGTGGTGATGCACCATACACCGCAGTGTTAACCTTTATGACAGTGGTGGGTGACGCACCACACCCTCAGTGTTAACGGTATGACAGTGGTGGGTGACGCACCATACACCTCAGTGTTAACCGTATGACAGTGGTGGGTGACGCACCTTACACCTCAGTGATAACCGTATGACAGTGGTGGGTGACGCACCATACCAGTGATAACCGTGCGACAGTGGTGGGTGACGCACCTTACACCTCAGTGATAACCGTATGACAGTGGTGGGTGACGCACCATACACCGCAGTGTTAACCGTATGACAGTGGTGGGTGACGCACCATACACCTCAGTGTTAACCGTATGACAGTGGTGGGTGATGCACCATACACCTCAGTGATAACCGTATGACAGTGGTGGGTGACGCACCATACACCTCAGTGTTAACGGTATGACAGTGGTGGGTGACGCACCTACACCTCAGTGTTAACCGTATGACAGTGGTGGGTGACGCACCTACACCTCAGTGATAACCGTATGACAGTGTGGTGACGCACCTTACACCTCAGTGATAACCGTATGACAGTGGTGGGTGACGCACCATACACCTCAGTGATAACCGTATGACAGTGGTGGGTGACGCACCTTACACCTCAGTGATAACCGTATGACAGTGGTGGGTGACGCACCTTACACCTCAGTGATAACCGTATGACAGTGGTGGGTGACGCACCCACCTCAGTGATAACCGTATGACAGTGGTGGGTGACGCACTAAACACCGCAGTGTTAACCGTATGACAGTGGTGGGTGACGCACCATACACCCAGTGTTAACCGTATGACAGTGGTGGGTGATGCACCATACACCGCAGTGTTAACCTTATGACAGTGGTGGGTGACGCACCATACACCCCTCAGTGTTAACCGTATGACAGTGGTGGGTGATGCACCATACACCCCAGTGTTAACCGTATGACAGTGGTGGGTGACGCACCATACACCCAGTGTTAACCGTATAACAGTGGTGGGTGACGCACCATACACCGCAGTGTTAACCGTATGACAGTGGGTGACGCACCAAACACCTCAGTGTTAACCGTATGACAGTGGTGGGTGACGCACCATACACCCTCAGTGTTAACTGTATGACAGTGGTGGGTGACGCACCATACACAGCAGTGATAACCGTATGACAGTGGTGGGTGACGCACCATACACCTCAGTGTTAACCGTATGACAGTGGTGTGACGCACCATACACCCCAGTGCAACTGTATGACAGTGGTGGGTGACGCACCATACACCGCAGTGATAACCGTATGACAGTGGTGGGTGACGCACCATACACCTCAGTGTTAACCGTATGACAGTGGTGGGTGACGCACCATACACCTCAGTGTTAACCGTATGACAGTGGTGGGTGACGCACCATACACCTCAGTGTTAACGGTATGACAGTGGTGGGTGACGCACCATACACCTCAGTGTTAACTGCATGACAGTGGTGGGTGACGCACCATACACCTCAGTGTTAACGGTATGACAGTGGTGGGTGACGCACCATACACCACAGTTCTAACCGTATGACAGTGGTGGGTGACGCACCATACACCCCAGTGTTAACTGCATGACAGTGGTGGGTGACGCACCACACCTCAGTGTTAACGGTATGACAGTGGTGGGTGACGCACCAAACACCACAGTTCTAACCGTATGACAGTGGTGGGTGACGCACCATACACCTCAGTGTTAACCGTATGACAGTGGTGGGTGACGCACGAACACCGCAGTTCTAACCGTATGACAGTGGTGGGTGACGCACCATACACCCCAGTGTTAACCGTATGACAGTGGTGGGTGACGCACCATACACCTCAGTGTTAACCGTATGACAGTGGTGGGTGACGCACCATACACCCCAGTATTAACCGTGGTGGGTGACGCACCATACACCTCAGTGTTAGCCGTGGTGACGCACCACACCTCAGTGTTAGCCGTGGTGTGTGACGCACCATACACCTCAGTGTTAGCCGTGGTGGGTGACGCACCATACACCGCAGTGTTAACCGTATGACAGTGGTGGTGACGCACCATACACCTCAGTGTTAACCGTGGTGGGTGACGCACCATACACCTCAGTGTTAGCCGTGGTGTGTGACGCACCATACACCCCAGTGTTAGCCGTGGTGTGACGCACCATACACCTCAGTGTTAGCCGTGGTGGGTGACGCACCATACACCGCAGTGTTAACCGTATGACAGTGGTGGGTGACGCACCATACACCCCAGTGTTAGCCGTGTGGGTGACGCACCATACACCTCAGTGTTAGCCGTGGTGTGTGACGCACCATACACCTCAGTGTTAGCCGTGGTGTGACGCACCATACACCGCAGTGTTAACCGTATGACAGTGGTGGGTGACGCACCATACACCTCAGTGTTAACCGTGTGGGTGACGCACCATACACCTCAGTGTTAACCGTGGTGGGTGACGCACCATACACCTCAGTGTTAGCCGTGGTGGGTGACGCACCATACACCTCAGTGTTAGCCGGTGGGTGACGCACCATACACCTCAGTGTTAACCGTGGTGGGTGACGCACCATACACCTCAGTGTTAGCCGTGGTGGGTGACGCACCATACACCTCAGTGTTAGCCGTGGTGGGTGATGCTTCAGCAATATTGTCTGCCACATCTCTCTCTGTCTCACAACTTAAAGTTATAACAGTGATCACTGGACCACTGTGTGTACCAGTTTTACCTATACAACATAATTGTCTAAATCAATGGTGACTGTACCGCTATGATGACTGTATGACCGTGTTAACTATGATGACTGTATGATCGTGTTAACTATGATGACTGTATGACTGGGTTAACTATGATGACTGTATGACTGTGTTAACTGTGATGACTGTATGACTGTGTTAACTATGATGACTGTATGACTGTGTTAACTATGATGACTGTATGACTGGGTTAACTGTGATGACTGGGTTAACTATGATGACTGTATGACTGGGTTAACTATGATGACTGTATGACTGTGTTAACTATGATGACTGTATGACTGTGTTAACTGTGATGACTGTATGACTGTGTTAACTATGATGACTGTATGACTGGGTTAACTATGATGATTGTATGACTGTGTTAACTGTGATGACTGTATGACTGTGTTAACTATGATGGCTGTATGACCGTGTTAACTATGATGACTGTATGATCGTGTTAACTATGATGACTGTATGACTGGGTTAACTATGATGACTGTATGACTGTGTTAACTGTGATGACTGTATGACTGTGTTAACTATGATGACTGTATGACTGTGTTAACTATGAAAAATGAAAGTGGGTCCAATTGGCATGACTATCTGTTAGGGACAGTGTGGGTACAGTACACTGTATACTGCGTCTTCGGTACACAAGGAGGCAGCATGGCCGGCACTGCACTCGACCGCCTTCACTTCCCCAAGTTGTAATCTTAGGTACCCATTTACAGCTGGGTGAACTGGGAGTGCCCCGGAATCGAACCATCGACGAGCGAGCGGTGTATCCACTGGACCTACCATTAACTGTACCACTGTATTAACTGTGCCACTGTATTAACTGTACCACTGTATTAACTGTACCACTATATTAACTGTACCACTGTGTAATTCTCAACACATGACTCGGTGTTAATCCTCCACCAGTGCTGACCACCATGGTGGGGACTATCGGCGTGACGACCACCGGGACCTACTCTAATAATGCCGACTGTTCATGGCAAATAAGTCTGGAACCTGGGACCAAAATATTATTACGCTGGAGTTATGTGGAGATGGAAGGTTGCACTGACTTTGTGCAAGTGGCGGACGTTACTCGGTCAAATGCACTAGTCTATGGGTAAGTTGTAACAGCCTCATTACTGGATAAAGTGTCTTGTAGTCTTATCAATATTTATAGTTAACACACACAAGCTGATAGGTGTGTGGGGTATCTTTACTTTTTCCAGAATAATGGAACCGATGCTCACACAACCACCAGTCCCTCATTGACCCACGCTGGCTTGCTTCAATATTAGTCAACAAACTATAAACATTATTAAGAGCAACGTAAGGTATATGTTTAAATGGTATATTGAAAAATGTTAAGTAGATTTAACTAGTAACCCAAAAATATTTGGAAGACGCAAGAGTTTTGGTAAAAAAATAATAATTTGTGCAGGGATGTGTGTGTGTGTGTGTGTGTGTGTGTGTGTATGTGTTTTAAGTGTATAAATACTAATGGTGGTAATTGTTTGCTTTACAGACAAAAGGTGTGTGGGTCTGTAGTTCCTCGAGACCATATCGTCAACAGTCATAGTCTGAAGATAACATTCCACTCTGACCATTCAGTTGTCTACCGAGGGTTTGCGATGACTTATGAAGCAGTGCCAACAATATAAGGTCTGTGTTTGCTTGTTATGTTTACATCCTAGACAGATGTCAACAGATAAACGTCCGCAGTTAAAAGTCATAAATTTACAGTAGATAATTTGGTTGTGTTTGTGTGTTTACCAAGATTTATTCATAGTTTTGATGATAAAGCGCTGATGTTTTGGTGGGGGGAGCCAGTCAGTGTGAAACGAAAAGAAACAAAAAATATCTGCGGATCGGTAATTGTAAATATTTCATATTTACATAGTCAATATACGGTCCACCCTCGGTATTTCGTAAGACTGTGAGCGGTAATTATAGCGAAATGTCGTTTTTCTACCCACAGAGACTCTGAAACTACACCAAAAATGCCTTCAAGACGTATATTTAACATAACAATGAGAGCAGCTCAATAATGTAGCCTATAGCAGGACAGTACATACAGTATATCCCTGTCTTGTAATAATCTTAACGTGGCATCGAATACAATAATAACAAAATGAGATAGAACAGTGAGGCTCCTAGCCGACAAACTTTAAATGTGACTTAAGTTCTGTAAATTAAGTGACCACAGTACTGTAGTATTAAGCCAGGGCCCGCCCCACCTGGTCCACCCCCAGTAGTGTTGTACACAGTTGATATTATCTCCTGTGGTAAGACCTTCTGGCCAATGGTAGAGTAACAAGCATAGTGGCCACCATGTGTGTCAACAGTAGCAACCATGTGTGTGTGTCAACTGTGGCCACCATGTGTGTCAACTGTGGCCACCATGTGTCAACTGTGGCCACCATGTGTGTGAACTGTGTCCACCAGCTGTATCAACTGTGTCCATCAGGTGTGTCAACCGTGGCCATCAGCTGCGTGTCAACTGTGGCCATCAGCTGTGTGTCAAACGTGGCCATCAGCTGTGTGTCAACTGTTGCCATCAGCTGTGTGTCAACTGTGTCGACCAGCTGTGTCAACTGTGACAACCAGCTGTGTCAACCGTGGCCATCAGCTGTGTGTCAACCGTGGCCATCAGATGTGTGTCAACAACCGTGGCCATCAGCTGTGTCAACTGTGGCCATGAGCTGTGTGTCAACTGTGGCCTCCATCTGTGTGTTAACCGTGGCCACCAGCTGTGTGTCAACTGTGGCCATCAGCTGTGTGTCAACTGTGGCCATCAGCTGTGTGTCAACTGTGGCCTCCAGCTGTGTGTTAACCGTGGCCATCAGCTGTGTGCCAACTGTGGCCATCAGCTGTGAGTGGTTTACAAGAGACAGCGGCGTCAGACAAGTGACTCACAATTTGCGGAGAGAAGAGCCAGATATGTTATTACTCGGGGTGAACGTGAACAAAGTTCCTTTAGGTCAGTACTAAGAAGAGTTGCTGAGGTCGTTAAATGTTAGGGGCACGAACCACACGTTTCACCAACAGTGAAGTCTCTGAGCTGCTGTTGTGTTGTGCTAAACCTTTGTCACAAAGGAGGGCCACACTAGTGTAGTTAAGATACGTGTTCCTCACACTGAAGTCAACAATAACATTACGAACAAAGTTCACATTATAACCAGATACTGTTGTTGGTGTTCCAAATGTATTAATCTTTCCACTTTGTCTCACTCTTTAAGGTCTTCACCTATAGGACTGCCACGTAACAACTTGTTTATTTACTGTTTACCACAAACATGTTTCTGGCTCTCAAGTGAATTTGTTTTAACTCTAACAAGTTGTCAGTACCAGAAAATAAGTCTCAACCTTTCTACCAGCACCTACTGAGGACACACCTGCTCCACCTACTGAGGACACACCTGCTCCACCTACTGAGGACACACCTGCTCCACCTACTGAGGACACACCTGTCTCACCTACTGAGGACACACCTGTCCCACCTACTGAGTACACATCTGTCCCACCTACTGAGGACACATCTGTCCCACCTACTGAGGACACACCTGCTCCACCTACTGAGGACACACCTGCTCCACCTACTGAGGATACACCTGTCTCACCTACTGAGGACACATCTGTCCCACCTACTGAGGACACACCTGCTCCACCTACTGAGGAAACACCCCCTCCACCTACTGAGGACACACCTGTTCCACCTACTGAGGACACACCTGTCTCACCTACTGAGACCACCTGTACAAAGTTGAGACACAGCACACTGCCAAATTGAGAGCTCTTGAACACATACACACTCTACAGACTGATGATAATATCACACAGACCATCTACACTGATGGATCTCTTAACACCGCCTGTGGGAGGGCTGGAAGTGCTGTTATTGTGACTCATCCTGACGGTAATATAATTGAGAAAGGAGTTAGAATTAACAACTGGGCATCCACTCTACAAACTGAATTAGTTGCCATACTCACAGCTATTAAGTTCATTGAAACCACTGTTTCTGACAGTCTCATCATCACTGACTCTCTATCCTCACTACTTGCCCTTGGCACCCTCGACTCAGGTTGTCACGCTCTTGTCTCTAAAGCCAGACACAAATATGCGTGCCTTGTTGACCGGGGTGTCAAGGTCAAACTGTTGTGGATCCCCTCTCACAGAGGCCTCATAAAACATGACAGAGTTGATGCCCTCGCCAAACTCGCGTCTAACAAAGACACCGTGGAATACAATTTGGGTCTATCAAAAAGAACCCTTAAAACTGTAATTAGGAAAGAACTTATTGATGAGTTTGACGCAAGTAGACAAGTGCAAACAGGCACTAGTCGATCCATAGGTTACCATGATGAGATGTATATGGAGCAAGTAACAACATCACTAGATTACAAGATGTTGTAACCGCTAGATTAAGGTTAGGATATAAGTACCTTTGGCAGTATGTTCCTCAAGCAGATGTAAACAAAACTAAATGTAAAGTGTGTGGCCATACATATGGCCACACACTTGAACACTACGTCCTCGACTGTGTGAAGATAGAACCTTTTAGGGACAGGTCCAAGCACACTGTGTGTGAAATGGCACAACACTTCATCTCTAATGGCAAGATAGCCGACATATTAAGATTGTATCCACTTTTTTGCACTTAGTAACTATATGAATTCTCATGTACATAACCAAATACGCAATGTGCTTGAATACTTCTCACGTAAATGTGAATAACAAAGTGTGAGGCCAGACATACTGCCTCACACGCCTGTACTCACGCATTTGTGAATAAGTTACCCTTTATGTATAGAACTAAGCAAATAATGTAAATGAAATACTGTGTAACATTCAGTGCCATAATATCCTGACAACGGGGGTTAATTATTATGACCCTTTGTAAACCCTACTCTGTAATCCTTTTGCGCTACCGCTCACAGGATGAGTGTGGGGTGCACAATAAAGTAGCCGCTGCAAGCGGCAAAATAAAAATCAATGAATACATACCTGCTCCACCTACTGAGGACACACCTGCTCCACCTACTGAGGACACACCTGCTCCACCTACTGAGGACACACCTGCGCCACCTACTGAGGATACACCTGTCTCACCCATTGAGGGGAGAGAGGTCACTCCCGCAACTTGTTGAGTCATAGGCACCTGTGACAACAACTTGGTGAGTCATAGGCACCTGTGACAACAACTTGGTGAGTCATAGGCACCTGTGACAACAACTTGGTGAGTCATAGGCACCTGTGACAACAACTTGGTGAGTCATAGGCACCCGTGACAACAACTTGGTGAGTCATAGGCACCTGTGACAACAACTTGGTGAGTCATAGGCACCTGTGACAACAACATCGGTGAGTCATAGGCACCTGTGACAACAACTTGGTGAGTCATAGGCACCGTCACAACAATTTGGTGAGTCATAGGCACCTGTGACAACAACTTGGTGAGTCATAGGCACCTGTGACAACAACTGTGAGTCATAGGCACCTGTGACAACAACTGGTGATCGCAGCACCCGTGACAACAACTTGGTGAGTCATAGGCACGAGGAGTCATAGGCACCCGTGACAACAACTTGGTGAGTCATAGGCACCTGTGACAACAACTTGAGAGTCATAGGCACCTGTGACAACAACTTGGTGAGTCATAGGCACCTGTGACAACAATCCTGAGTCATAGGCACCCCTGACAACAACTCAGGAGTCATAGGCACCTGTGACAACAACTTGGTGAGTCATAGGCACCTGTGACAACAACTTGGTGAGTCATAGGCACCCTGACAACAACTTGGTGAGTCATAGGCACCCGTGACAACAACTTAGTGAGTCATAGGCACCCGTGACAACAACTTGGTGAGTCATAGGCACTGTGACAACAACTTGGTGAGTCATAGGCACCTGACAACAACTTAGTGAGTCATAGGCACTCTGACAACAACTTGGTGAGTCATAGGCACCTGTGACAACAACTTGGTAGTCATAGGCACCCGTGACAACAACTTGGTGAGTCATAGGCACCTGTGACAACAACTTGTTGAGTCATAGGCACCTGTGACAACAACTTGGTGAGTCATAGGCACCTGTGACAACAACTTGGTGAGTCATAGGCACCCGTGACAACAACTTGGTGAGTCATAGGCACCTGTGACAACAACTTGGTGAGTCATAGGCACCTGTGACAACAACTTGGTGAGTCATAGGCACCTGTGACAACAAAACTTGTGAGTCATAGGCACCCTGACAACAACTTGGTGAGTCATAGGCACCTGTGACAACAACTTGGTGAGTCATAGGCACCTGTGACAACAACTTGGTGAGTCATAGGCACCTGTGACAACAACTTGGTGAGTCATAGGCACCCGTGACAACAACTTAGTGAGTCATAGGCACCTGTGACAACAACTTGGTGAGGCATAGCACCCGTGACAACAACTTGGTGAGTCATAGGCAACTGTGACAACAACTTGGTATAGGCACCTGTGACAACAACTTGGTGAGTCATAGGCACCTGTGACAACAACTTGGTGAGTCATAGGCACCCGTGACAACAACTTGGTGAGTCATAGGCACTGTGACAACAACTTGTTGAGTCATAGGCACCCGTGACAACAATGGTGAGTCATAGGCACCCGTGACAACAACTTGAGGAGTCATAGGCACCTGGACATCAACTTGGTGAGTCATAGGCACCTGTGGCAACAACTTGGTGAGTCATAGGCACCTGTGACAACAACTTGGTTAGTCATAGCACCTGTGACAACAACTTGGTGAGTCATAGGCACCTGTGACAACAACTTGGTGAGTCATAGGCACCTGTGACAACAACTTGGTGAGTCATAGGCACCTGTGACAACAACTTGGTGAGTCATAGGCACCCGTGACAACAACTTGGTGAGTCATAGGCACCTGTGACAACAACTTGGTGAGTCATAGGCACCCGTGACAACAACTTGTGAGTCATAGGCACCTGTGACAACAACTTGGTGAGTCATAGGCACACGTGACAACAAATTGGTGAGTCATAGGCACCTGTGACAACAACTTGGTGAGTCATAGGCACCCGTGACAACAACTTGGTGAATCATAGGCACCTGTGACACCAACTTCAGGAGTCAGAGGCACCTGTGACAACAACTTGGTGAGTCATAGGCACCTGTGACAACAACTTGTGAGTCATAGGCACCCGTGACAACAACTTGGTGAGTCATAGGCACCTGTGACAACAACTTGTTGAGTCATAGGCACCCGTGACAACAACTGGTGAGTCATAGGCACCTGTGACAACAACTTGGTGAGTCATAGGCACCCGTGACAACAACTTGGTGAGTCATAGGCACCCGTGACAACAACTTGGTGAGTCATAGGCACCTGTTAAAACAACTTGTGAGTCATAGGCACCTGTGACAACAACTTGTGAGTCATAGGCACCCGTGACAACAACTTGTGGAGCATAGGCACTTGGACAACAACTTGTTGAGTCATAGGCACCCGTGACAACAACTTGGTGAGTCATAGGCACCGTGACAACAACTTGGTGAGTCATAGGCACCTGTGACATCAACTTGGTGAGTCACAGGCACCTGTGGCAACAACTTGGTGAGTCATAGGCACCTGTGACAACAACTTGGTTAGTCATAGCACCTGTGAACAACTTGGTGATCATAGGCACCTGTGACAACAACTTGGTGAGTCATAGGCACC